ATTCACATAACTAATAACACACAGACACACAGACACACACACACACACAAATCACTTCTGAAGAACTATCGGGCCCTATACTACGTCTAATTGGAGCTCTTGTAATTCTCCTGTAAAGAAAATAAAAAAGCGAGTAGACTTAAAGGCCAGAGAGTAAATAGAGGAGTTGAAACACGATGGCCAACACTGGGTGTCTTGGTGGCCTCGCTTGTTAGCGGCCCGGCCACCTCCCCCTTGTAATCAAACTTGAAGGCGGCGCTTAGAAATCAATGGCCAATAAAAGGCCGTGATGAGTAAGTTCTGACCAATCAAACTAACCATGAGTAAGTTCCGGGGTGGGTGCGGCGCGCGTCTGTAATCAAAGGATTTGCCGAGGGTCTAAGGTTCACTTTGTAGGATTGACGAGTGGGGGGGAGGGGGGGGGGGGTTCAAGGAGATGGAGGGAGATGTGTGGGGTGGGGGCTAAGTGGTGTGGTGGTGCTGCTGTTGAGGAGGGGGGTAGAATTAACTCCAGCCGATTCTGGAAACATTGATATCAGAACCAAAAATGTTATTTCTATTTTATTTTAAGGTAATTTTTTTTTATTTCTTTTTTTTAACTCGTTCTTGAAAATAAAAACTAATTCAGTTCCCGCATATTATATTCAAAGAATCAGATAGATGCAACACCCTCGCATTGCTTTAGTTGTCTGTTTGTTCTCGCGTTTTTTCTGATTGTCGTATTTATCGGCTTAATGCGCAGGTTGGGATTTGTCTATTTGAGTAGAAACTCGTCTTAAGGGGGATTTCGTTTGAAGTTTGCCGGCAAATGTTGAGCTGAAACTCCGTATCCGGTTTGACGGTTCGAGTTACTTGATGTCATTTTGATTTAACTGTTTGTGAGTGTGTTAGGTGGTTCGTTCCATATGGACAGGGGTGGTGAGGGGGTGTAGGCGTGGCATTGACTGCGGGGTAGGGACGGCGCGTGAAGAGGTTACGGTGAGTTTTCCGGTTCAAGAAAAAGCAAGGGTAGTTTTCGTCATGTAGATGCTTTTGTAGATTGATTTCGTATTAAGAAAGAAGGTATAACAAGTATTTTCTTTTATAAGCAGCTTCAGAACTGTTCACTCCACCAACAATGCCAGCTCCCACCTCTACTACACGTCGATAATGCCAGCACCGTACTCTACCATATACAGACTACGCCATCGCTCACCTCCACCACATACCGACCACGCCATCGTCCACCTCCACCACATACCAACCACGCCATCATCACTTCAACATAAACCAACAGCCCCAACACTCGTGACCGTCTCTAAGAAATCTGATTGGGCCGTCCACCCAGGAGAAAGTCAGACCGACCTTGTAGAGAGAGAAAACTTGATGATCAAAGCTCGCCACATGACAGTGGTTCCCAATCTTATCTTTTGATCCCCCCGCCATCTCCCCCCCTTCCCTCTTCCTCCCTACATGTCTGCAGAGACACGTTAAATCTAATAAGCGGGGTTGTGATTAAAAGAATGATGATTACGTTGGAGGGGGGGGGGGACATGCTGATGTTGATTATGCCGCCATGTTTGTTTGGGGTTAGTCCGTTGCTGTGGGGGCGAGAGGAAATGATGAGGGGGGGGGGGGGGGGATTGATGAAACGCCGGACGATCATCTTCTTCTGATGAGGAGGGGAGGATTATGAGGATTAAGTCACCGATGTAGGGAGTTGATAATTTGAGGTGTCCGTGTGAAGTGGTTGGGGGGGGGGGGGGGGAAATGGGGTGTTTTTTTATTCTTTTGCTGGACACATTGATGTGGATGTGGGGAGGGGGTGGGGTGGTTACGTAAGATATTGTAAGGGGAGGGAAGTTTACGCATAAAGCATGGGAGAGGATTAGGTTTGGAGTTAAGAGATAATCGACTTATTTTGACAGGTTCTGATTGGAAAAAAAAAAGTTTGGACCTGGATTTTTACAAGGGTCACTGTAGGAATTTTTCTCTGAATATTTTAACTCACGCCAACGACGTTTGTACGGTCAGTTTTGTGACTTAAAATAAATTTGATACTATTTTCAATTTTTGGTGCTAGACTGAAATTCTGAATACATCTTGTGTATGGTATCTTTCAGGTATTTTTTCTCCAGGGTTGGAGCACTCTAAACCTCTGGGGTAAGGCCGGAAGGCACTTACATTTTACGGAGAGGGAGGTAGTGGATACTGATTTAAGTATATATTTTCTACCTAAATTATGTATTTATTTCCTATTTCGTCAATGCCCCCACCCCCTCCCACTAAACACGTTGTGTCGTTATGTGTCTACCAGCAGATGTAGAGACCTAATACTGACATGACAGTCTGGTTAGAAAAAAAACACAAGAAGAAATTCAAAACACAAATCTGTTTTTTTTTTTTTTTGGGGTCCAGTGTGGAAATAAGACAAATGAGTCTGGTTTTGAATCCCAGTACGAAATTAAGACATCCGAAGTATAAGTCTGACTTAGGGGCTATTTACACATTTATTTAACCTTGATTCTTATATGAGACCCTAATCACTAACCTGAAATAACCAGTTGTTGTTTTTTAAACGGCCAATGTGGGAAAAAAGGCCTCCGTGCCTACTGTTGTTACTGTTATTGAATAAATTGAATTGAATAAGCCTCTAACAACTTAACATGTATTTTCATAAGATTCTAATGTCTGACACTGCCTGCACTAATAATCCAGCATGTTGTGTGATGATTTGTATGGTTTTTTTAAAATAAATTAGACATGTACACAGAATTCGTCAGTAGCCATTTTGATTCAACTACAGCAGCATATGCTATTTCTGTTTTCCCCACCCGAAAAGAAACGTTGACGAGACAGTTATGTAGACCCGTGTCTACTTACAAAGCTATTTTTCAGATTAATGTATGCGCCGGATAAGCCGCTGTACCCAAACAAGGGGGATAGACCGCGACGTATGCTTTGTTTTTATTGGATGTGTAAAATATGTAAGGCGGGATCTGATTGGCTATTTTCACGAAGAAGAAACCAGTCGTGTTAGGTTTAACACTTGTTGTTGCCTGTTGAGGAAAGAAAACCACCACGGCGGTCTCATTAGCCGGGCCACGTCAAACGGCCATCACTGGGACCACGGGGAATGCCGGGAAATGGACAGTAACGAACTGGACAACGGGGGGAGGGCGGCGCGTGATGTAATGATCACATGACCACGGTTAGTTAAAATTTAGGATGTACGTCACGTGATAACAAACGACGAGCTCTTCGGCGAGGGGTGTTTTTTTTTTTTTTTTTCGGCGAGTGAGGGTGTGGTCCCAATGCCCAATTGCTGCATGCTAATGGCGAGAGACGCTTGACAGATGAGGGCAGACGTGTGGTTACGATGATGATGTTGTATGACAGATGTGGGGGGACATGTAGTTAAGATGATGATGTCGGATGACAGATGGGGGCAGGCAAGTTGTTAGGACGTGAGTACATTTGAGCGAGACACGGGCGGGATAATTGCCAAAAATATATATCTATAACAGGGGCGTTCATTTGTGGGCGGTGGTCATTTGAGGGAGGGGTGTCGATTGGGGGAGTAGTCATTTGTGGGCGGTGGTCATTTTGGGGAGTGGTCATTTGGAGGAGGGGTGTCTATTGGGGGAGTAGTCATTTGTGGGCGGTGGTCATTTGGGGGAGTGGTCATTTGGAGGAGGGGGTGTCAATTAAGGGAGTGGTCATTTATGAACGCTGGTCATTTGGGGGAGTGGTCATTTGTGGGCGGTGGTCATTTGGGGGAGTGGTCATTTGTGGGCGGTGGTAATTTGGGGGACGTGTGTTTATTGGGCAGCGGCGACTTGCTCTGAGAGAAAGATTTCGCAAAAAAAAAATTGTCATCTAAATGACGACCGTGTAAGGATATAGTGTAGTTTTATGGTCAACAATTTCAACTTTTTATCTTAGGTAATTGCTGTTGCCGTTCACTGAAGGGAAGTAATGCGTGATTATACATAAATAAATTGTTAGAAATGTATAGGGAAGGGCCAGTCCAAAAAATAAGAAAGATGATAAAGAAATTTTTATCACGGGTGGATGTTTGATTAGGTGTAGTCGCCATTTTTATGACGCAGTACTCATTAATTAAGTCTGGCTTCAAACGGTGATCAATGACATGGGTTTATTTTTAAAGATCGAACACACAACAATGTTTTTATTTTAGAAGAAAGTAATTATTTAATTTAATATACAACAAAGATACAAACAAGAGATAAGAAAATATTATTTAAAAAATATCTGTTGTTGATGTTTATGATGGTGTTGGTGTACTATGGTGGTTGATGAAGTTAGTATTTGCACTTTCTCGAGTTTGTGTTAAATTGGTTAAAAAAAATTTACACCATAGCTTATTGCAACCGATAACCAAAATAATTTGAAATTTATAGACTAATATTTTGTTGTTTTCTGCTTAATATTCCGGGTCTTTTATGCTTGTAGTATAAGAGTACTATTGCGCCATTTTGTTGTATTACGTATATCAATGTATCACTTTATTGCCCTTGTAATAACACCAGTTATCTACCTTACTTTGATTCAACATTTGATTCAAGATTTTAAAATCAGGAAATTTAAGTGGCGCGCAAAATTATTTATTAAAATGCATCTTTTATTTTCAAATTATAATTTGTTTAAAGCTCAATCTCATAAACAAAAATTAGCTCCAGTTGAAATGCTTACAAATTAAATAGCCAACATACCACGCTCTATGTACATCGATTAAGACAGGATGTTATGTTTTGGTTTTAGTTTTTTGCGTTTGAGGCTAATATTTCAAAACGACCATTTTAAGATAATGTATGAGAATTTAAAGAAAAAAAAACATTGATGCTATTTGTCCATTTATCTTCGATAATTACGGCGATTACATTTATATCATAATAAAAATATAAACTGACCAGTGTCACGTGTTGTGTGTTAACTGACCAGTGTCACGTGATGTGTGTTAATTAACTACAGGTGTTAGTGAATAAAACAAAACTTACCTGTTTAGTGCAGCCAGATGTGCCGTGCCATTACCTGGTAGGTAAAAGAAAATAGAAAACGTTATAACACGGGATTAGGATTAGGGTTAGAAATTAGAGTACAAAGTTGTAACAATGATTAGAACAACTAAAGTTAAGGATCAAATTGTTTTTTTTTTGGGGTTTTTTGGGAACAGACATAATAATTAATTTATTTTTAAATTATTGAGTTTAACTATTTTAGCCAAAACAGCCGGTTAAGATTAAACCCCAATCCTCTCCGATCACTACGTAATTATTTATTCTTGTGTATATTTTAAACTGCGGAGTTATTATGTTTGTTTTATATGCCGAACCGTTTAGAGTTATTGTACTTGGTTTGAGTTCAAACAATGCGCGCATTGTGCATGAGAAGTTATAAGGCGATCATAGGCATTGCTGTTCTTATTTCAACGTTAAATTCAGTACAACTATGCGGCATGCATGATATTATTACAAAGATTATATAATATATTACAACATAATTCTTTAAATTTTGTAAACAATGTATATGACTTATGTAAAAGAATCTCTTTAAATTTGCTAAACAACGTATGCAAAGTATTAAGTTGAGTATGGTTATGTATCGTCAAGCAAGTAAAGTTAGAACATGGAGTTTTTATGAACAATGTTTGATTAGTTTTGAACACGAGAGCTGATGAGATACATGCTTCTCACCTCTCACTTTCATTGTTGCTATTTTTTAACGTTTTTCGCAAAATATAGGCCTATATTTTTTTAGATTAAACTTTTTAATAAATCTAAAAACGAATTATGTCCGCACATAAAGAGCTAAGAATTGTTTAAAGTAACCGCAATAGATGTGTTATTATACCCCGACCAGCGATAAAAAGACAAACAGTTATGTGGTCGCTAATTCTGTATATGGTAAGTAGACTAGGACCTCAATAGATGGCGGGTTGATGTAAAGATACCTGTAGTTGTGTGACCACCTCTGCCACGTGTAAAACACACCTAAACAGGTGGGGGAAACAACACAAGCATGTTGAATGTAAGATCATTTACTTGTGCTATATTTATTATTGTAATTATTTTCAATCAGATTGAAGCGTACTACTAACGCGGTGTTTCGTCCAATATGAATATTGTCGTCAAATTGTCCATGTCGACAATAGGTGATGGACATTTTTTTGACAAGTCGGAGTGACCAATTTAGCGAGTACATTCGTGTGTGGTTATTTGATATTTAAACCGAATGTCCAGAATTTTAACGCAAGGACATTTTCTCGCGAATGAAATATACCGACATAGGACTGGCACGCTAAAGATCCGGATATTTAAGGTCTGGGTAAAATATGTAAGAATTATTTAAAATGTTGGTGAAGTAAAAATTAATGTGACGAATTATTTGTAAACGAAATATGTAGACTTTTTCTCGGTAATGTGTCGACATTTTTCCAAAACACTTAGCATATGGACATTTTTATAGAAAGGCTTATATTACTTATATGGATAATTTAATAATAAAGTAAATATGTGGATATGTTTATGTTGTTATATATATATGTCGTTTTTTCTTGTATAGTAGAGATGAATGCGTTTATGTTATAGTAGATTAGCCATTTTTCTGCTGTAGTAAATATATGGATATTATTCTATTATAGAAGTTTTATGAAGATTGTTCTGTTTCAGCAAATATATAAATATTTTGTTAATTTGATCTAGCGAATGTAAAGCTGGTTTTCTACTAAGTGATGGAATCGTCTATGATCAATTGTTAACGACACGTGGATATAAGAATAAAAGCGAGGAAATAGCAATGATGACAAACATTTTGGTATAGTTTCGTTTGTTTTGGTTTGGGCAACCAAAAAAGTTTCAGCATAAACAATTTTAAATAAAGTTCTGTAATAAAACAAAGGGTTCCCACCACTTTACTAGTCCATTTAAATTTAATGTAGATAGGCTAATTGTTATCACGACATTAAACATGTGGTGTGTGGTGTTGTGCTGAGTGACACCACGACATTAAACATGGGGTGTGTGGTGTTATGCTGAGTGACACCACGACATTAAACATGGGGTGTGTGGTGTTATGCTGAGTGACACCACCACATTAAACATGGGGGTGTGTGGTGTTGTGCTAAGTGACACCACCACATTAAACATGGGGTGTGTGGTGTCATGGTAAGTGACACCACTCTACGAACAATTCGCCACGACGGTAGACTATAAATGAAAACTAATTGTTTAAAAAAAAACATAACTAACAAAGTAAATAATTTCACGTTCGCGAAACAAATGATGAATTAATTTACCCGCATAATACCATCTAGATAATGTTGATAGTCAGAGACTGCATGTGTGTGCTGCTATTAAAAGATAATTTCTTTTTAAAATGAGAAACACACCAGTCGTTCAGGTAATAAAACATGAGTTATAGATTTCAATAAGAACAAAGGGATCGGATTAGGATTAAGTTATGATTCACGCTCAGTGCCCCCAGTACTATAAACGGCTTGTAACTGATACAGTCGATCGTATGGATGTAACACGGGATTTGTGGAGTCATGTGGGCTGATGGTGAAGGTAGACTAGGTGTGTTGTTGCACAGAATGACATGCATCATTGCTGAACAAATCCACATATAAGTCTTGCATCATTGCTGAACAAATCCACATATAAGTCTTGCATCATTGCTGAACAAATCCACATTTAAGTCTTGCATCATTGCTGAACAAATCCACATATAAGTTTTGCATCATTGCTGAACAAATCCACATATAAGTTTTGCATCATTTCTTAGAGTTAGTAGTCATATCCAGCTTGCTTTTTTTTTTATTGAACTTGACTCTATTGTACGTAGTAATGGGTGGAATCTTGCGAACAAAATTTCCCCAAAATCCATATATATATATATATATATATATATATTATATATACATATATATGGATAGTCCATACTATTCGTGTAGCATAAGCCTGTTTATTATCGTCTGTATCCTGTGTGCCAAACTTTTTCAAACTTATTTTATATATATATATGTTACGGTCAAAGCCCGAAGTGCGGCCAAACCCCGGATTGGCCGGCCAATGCGCGGATTGGCCGGCTCTCTTGGCCAAAGCCCGAAGAACTTAGAACTAAGATCGTATTTCGTACATTGGCCGGCCAATGCGCGCACTGGCCGGGACGTACTGGCCAAAGTCCGAAGTACTTAAACTTGACAGCGTATTTTGTACATTGGCCGGCCAATGCGCGCATTGGCCGGGATGTCCCGGCCAATGTTGTATCTAGACTAAGTTGTGATCGCGTTTTAATTATTCTGGGTGCGGTTTCATTGTGAGTAACGTATTGTTTAGCTCTTGTTTGTATAGCATTCTATATGCAATGCGACATAGACCAAGAGAACCGTCAGACCAAGAGACAGACATAACAGATGGCTGTCAAAAGAAAAAAATGTAAATTCATGTTAGTTTCCATATATGGGCTACAACTGTATGTGACAGCCTCCTCCATGATGACGAGGTGAGACAATCATCAAAGAACAAAATCAAAGACAGTCGGCGTCACCGACCACGTGCAACAAGACGGAACGTTCAAAAGAATTTTCCGCGTTCCTAGATGTTTAAAACATGATGATGACATGGATGCAAACAAATGAATCAGCTCATTGGGCTGAGAGTCTCAAATTCATTTAATTTATGAAAAATCGTTCTTTTCATCAAGCAATCCAACAATCACCATACGAAGCCTTGTTTGGATGCAAAGCAAAAGTGGGACTTAGCACTTCAAATCTACCAAGAGAGGCTCTCAATAAAATAGTTACTGAGGAAGATCTTGAGAACATTGAACAAGAAATGGAGGTTGCCATAAATGCAACGACATCCTCAGCTAACACATCTGCTGCCGTGGCGGAACGTCCAGACCAATTGCGTGACAATAATGTGGCCAATAGATTCTGTATAGTTTGTGAAAAACATTGTAGTGCAGCTCATTCTTGTGGATCCTGTGGCAACGATGTGCATGCTATTTGTGGAATACTCAATGAAGCAGACGAAGGGTACGGAGGGAACATTACCTGCAGATTGTGTCACAACAAACAAGACATCATGGAACACAGGTCAGCAGCTCATACTGGCTTGCAAAATCAAGGTGCTAAGATGCTTAAAACATCAAATACAAAATTTAAAGATGGTGAAGTGGGTGACAATGTACGCATCCGTGTTCCAGATGTTGACAGAGGTCGCGGTGATCCCCGAAGCGTGATTGCAGTTGTCATGAGCGTCGAGGGCGGTTTCTACAAATTAGGAACGGAACATGGTGTTCTAAAACAACTGTATGCTAGAAGTGAGTTTTCAATTCTTCACGAAAAACTGCTCTTATTGTCGTCAGTTGGCACTGAGGAAAAATCACTACGAACCATCGCATCTTCATCGCATCTTCACAATCATTGACTGGGGGCCAAGGCTACACTCGCTGCAATTGCACAACCAAGTGTACAACAAATCGCTGCAAGTGTAAAAATGACAAGCTGCTATGTAATTCTAAATGCCATAAAAGTTCAACTTGTTGTAACAAATGATAATATTGATTGATTGAGACTATAGTACAATAAAAAATTTGAATGTTTCTGTCATTTACTTTAATTAATAATCAATAAAGACTTAATTTCATGATCCTACCGGCATAAAAAAAAACAAAATCTGCTCATGATCTTCTAATTAAGACTTTGGCCGGTCCACCATGGCCAGTCCGCGGACTGGCCGGGACTGGCCGGCCAAAGGCCGAAATCAAGAGCTATTTCAGACTTTGGCCGGTCCACAATGGCCAGTCTGCGGATTGGCCGGCCAAAGGCCGAAATGAAGCAAAGTTTCGGACTTTGACCGACCTATGGGAGGCGATATTGGCCAATGCGCGGATTGGCCGGCCAATCCTAGCATTGGCCGACTTCGGGCTTTGACCGTAACATATATAATGTCAAAGCACGCTTTCCAAAGTAGTTCTATTAATTCTAGTGCATTATTACATGTGAAGAATATTATTTTTTCGGTTCC